ATCACGGGTGGCCCGGCCTAGAGCGAGGGTTTCGGGTTTAGGGTTTAGGGTTTAGGGGTTTAGGGTTTAGGGTTTAGGGTTTAGGGTTTAGGGTTTAGGGTTTAGGGTTTAGGGGTTTAGGGTTTAGGGACTTGTACTATTTTGGGGGTTCCTTACTATAGCTATAGTTATAATGGGCACCAAAACCAGAATTCTAATTAATAAGGCCCCTGCATTAGGGTTTAGGGTTGGCAGAGTTGTCGCTTCAGTGCTTTAACTCAGGGTTTAGGGTCTTCTCGGCTTGAGATTCGGGGTTGGCAATGTTGGGCAAGGTTTTGGTCGAGGCAAAAAGGTTCGGGGCTTAGGTGGGGCTTCAGCACGTGCTGTGGCACTTGTGTGTGACATAGTCGAAGTGGTCGAGAGTTTTTCTGGTTGTTATTCTTCTGCTTTTTTAGCGCCTAAAGAGTCTCGTTTTCGGGGTTCGTCTCAAACTGATGTGAAGAAAGCGGTGTGGAAATCATGCCGTTTTGACACTAAGCCCCTAAACTCCTAAACCCCCAAACCTTGAAGCCCGAAAACCCTAGGCCCTAAACCCCGCAAGCGCGAACCCTCCCCCCAAACGGAGGGTTGAGGGGTGTTAGGTTTAGAGTTTTGGGTTTAGGGTTTAAGTTTGAGGTGTAGGGTTTAAAGTTTAGGGGTTTTAGGGCTTAGGGTTGAGGGGTTTAGGGTGTAACGGTTCCTTCACAGCCCCGAACAACCCAGGCTATGACATGCTCTACATGGGCGTCGGCAGCCTCGTCTGGTTCGCAGCGGCTTTGCTCCTGGACCAGTCGGATCTTAACCGTCGATTTTAGGGTTTTAGGGGTTTAGGGGTTTAGGCTTTCGGGTTTCTGGGTTTTGGGCATTGGGGATTTGGGGTTTACAGGGAGTAATATAGAGGTCGGAATGATTGCCAATGTTACTCCTGACCGCTCCTATCCTATCCCATCCCATCCCATCCTACCCTATTCCAACTATTCAGGCTCTTGTATTACAATTCAAGCTTGCCAGCTTTCGAGTTATGCCGTGCGGTTCAGAGTTTAGGATTTAGGGTTGTGAACAGCCCTGCCCGAATGTAGCCATCGCATCCTTGGAGCAATTTCCCTCAAGACCAATGGAGCTGGCTGCTGCGCGCCACGTGAGTGAATAGATTCAAGATTCAGACATCAAGGGAATCTTCCGGAATTCTAGACCCGTAACATAGTCACGTCTGATAGATTATAGATCCTGAATCATCATTAAGGGTAGTTTTCTTTGGGTACCTTTCAGTGTCCTTCTTTGCAGGGTGCCGTGCTATTTTTGGGACTTAAACAGGGACCCTAATTTAGAGAGGGCTCCCCATAAATGAGCCCGGCACGACGGTTGATAGTATAAATCCTGCATTACCCAGGTAATGCAGAGCCCTGAACCCTAAACCCTAAACCCCAAACCCTTAACCCTAAACCCGAAACCTCGAACCCTAAACCGTCATCAGCAGTAGGAGCAACCCATCCCCGGCTTTAAGACCGGCAGCCCTGAGCCCAAGCCCTAACACCAAAACTTCTAAGAACCTATGGAGGAACCCTTAACGTAGGGGCCTAAATAATTACCAATGCTACCTTGGGGTTTCCTTATTATAATTATAG